TTAAGAACTTGAAAGGAAGTGTTGCTCTAAAGAGCTTTTATTTCATCCGTAAATCGTTTACGTGGAAGATCCGCATTAATCTGAGTCCAAGAAGCCGGATACTGCGGCAGCTGTTAACTGGGTTGCTGGTGGTAGAGGGGCTGAGGTTGCCTCTAACCTGCAGGGCTGGTGTCGCCTCTCGCCAAGGCCCTGGTCTTCGCTTTTGCTGTGAGATGCCGCAGCCTTACGGAAGTGGTGGGCATCGGATGAGATGGTAGCTTGATCAAGAGTCCTTGAAAAGAACTATATTTTGCCACTACCAACCACTTTCCTCACCTCTGCCCTTGATCCACGCGTTAATCATTAGAGCGAAATTCTTTCTTTCGAAAATTCATCAAGACAAGTGTTTTAACACAACTATTACTAGTTTTCAAGAGTTGGGGCAGAGCCTTCGAAAAGGGTGATGAGGAAGCTACTGGCTCCTGGGACTGGTGCTGGATACACGGTTGCGGGCCAAGAACTTTGGTCCAGCTAGGGAGGGTAAAAACAACCCTTTAGAGCTGAAAACCATTCTGCTTGGCCATGTGCCCGACTTCGGCTTCTGGGGAGCCCAAGGCGTCTGAGAAAAAGAATTCATTGCCTTGGGCACATAGGAGCAGCCATTGCAATGGATCACCCAAGCTTGCAAATTTGGTGAAACTCCCCAACAAATTGTGGACCAGGGAGGTCTTTGCTCACAGGTCCGTTCCTAGTCACTGGCCTTCCCCACAGGCCGTCGCTTTTCTCCAGGTTACTTTGGCAATTATGCCAGATCACTAGACACATCACATCGTACATCCCTGCCACAGCCTGTGTGGCCTAGCCCAAATTCAGACGAGTGTCACTCAGCAAGGGTTCAGACATTTCCAGTTCTTCGGGATCCTTCTGACCCACATTCCCGGGTGAGCCCCTCTTTGATGTCCAACATGGACAAGATTGGGAAGAAAGATTCCAGGCACCCTATACACCAGAACTGCTGCTGCTTAGCACTGTCCCAAAGGCGTGGCAGGCAATGAAAATCAGATTCCTTCGGACAGGACAGAAGCAGAAGGGTCAGGGGCAACATCTATGTTCTCCGTGCCCGTGTCCACCAGAGACAGTTCTCCCAAGGAAGGGCTCCTGTGAAGCCTGGCTCAGCTCCCATGAGTTGACACTGTCCTGCCTTTTAGCAGCTTCTATTACATTCTTAATTGTTCTCTCCGGAAAAGTGCTTTAGCACCAATAGCAAAGTGACAAATCTCCAAGACTGGTCAAAGAAAAGCACCAAGAGCACAGTGCTTTAGCGGAGAGGACATCCGGGCTCCAAGCTGGGCACTCTCTACGGTGTGAGGCCAAGCTGGCTTCACCTTAGCTGGACGGTGGAGGGGGGGCGGGGGGCCAAGTAAGTGGGGGAGGGAAGGCCCAGGAAATGTGTGCGGGAGGTCTTGCTTGTAAATAGAGTGGCTGTGTTCTTCTGATTGTTGCTTGTGGCTTTGTAGAATGAGTTAGCCATCCATGCAGGATCTCACCTCTCCTTTTGTAATCTATTTTACCTCTAGGTGTTTTGAAACTATATTTTAATAAACTCGAGAAAGGCGAAAAATAGACGTTTGATGGGTCTTTCAAATATTCACAGCAGCAAGCGCTTCTATTACTGATGAAGAACTATGCCGAGAATTCCTAGTTATAAACTTAGCTCTGTCGTAGAGCTTTGTTGGTCTGTTTATAAATATGCGTTTTAGGAGCTCCAAATTCCCTGAAAAACATTCGGTGTCTTTTAAATCAAAGACATATGATCCAAGCTCTCCAGTACTTGTGTACCAATGGCGGTCCGAATAGGAGGAAACTGCAGTCAAGTCGAGGTTCACTGGTGCTAGGAAGTCTTTTCCATCCCATTACCAAAACCCACTTTTGATTGCAGTGGTTGAAGGGGTGGGTTAAAGGTGTCACCCACGCACTTCAGATCCCTGAAACCTCCTGGAAATTTAAATCTATTACACGGAACCCCTTCTGTTTTGTGACATGCAACCACATATGCCCATAACAGAGGGAACAGTTAATGGCAAACTCCCATAACGAATGCATAATCTGCAGTTTTTGGCAAGAAACTGAGTCTTCGGTTGCCAGGAGCTGCATTAAATAGATTTTGAAAGGTTGAGATACAGTTTACAGAAATGACACAGCCCGAGCCATTAGAGCATTAACATTGAATTTAAAATACTAATTAAGGCAATGATAATTGAGTGGTTTCTGGAAGTCAGAAGAAGGGGAAATAAAATAGGAGGATGTCATTTCACCTGTGCTTTGTCTGCCTGCTGTTTTGGGCGATAGTGTTGGAAATGGACTGAAACACTTTGGTAAGTTCTCTCAACTACTCCACACAGATCCATCGTGGGTGCTAACTCACTTTTAAAATTGGCTTCTTCTAGTCTTTGCCCCATGCCAGCCCTCCCTGATTCCAACCACCTAATGTCAGTGATGGCTAGGAAGGAGAAACCAGTTAATTAAGTCAGGATTTAGGTGGCTTTCGATGGCTTGCCCCAACCCCCTCAGCCCCAGTCTGTCATTTTAAAGTTAGCACATCTCCTTCCAGGTTTTGGACATTTCTTTACACATTCAAAACGTGTGATGTGAACTCAGGATACATCTTGCTTCTTTACACTTCACCCAACAAGTGGATCAGAAATAGATTTCTGTGCATCTTTGTCTCATCTGCTTTCTTCACATTTGGATTCTGAGGGTAGGGTATCAACAGGGGTGGAGAACCATAATTTTTTTTTTTCTTTTTAAGCCTGAGTTCCAACACTTTTAGATCCCTGGAAGTTTCATAGCCTTTGATGGAACCTCAATACCTGTGGGGGACTCTAGGATGGAATGTAAAAAGTAAAGAAAGCAAAGAGATGAAGGGGTTGAGAAGACTATTTTGGGTGAAAGCCATGGGTGTTTTCTCCTCCAGTGTTCTGTTGGAGTAAAGGAGACCATTCCTCTGGAGCCACATGATGGCAAAAGCATGGAGAGGGTATTCTGTGAAGATGACTGCTACTGCCTTCTGAAGTCACACCTAACATTCATCATTCCTATAGAGCTTATTATTGCTGTTACAAGCTGGCAGCCTCCCATATAGAAATATGGTTTGGGTATTTATGAAGTTTTCATTATTTGGTTTCCCTTGGGGGAATAAATATATGACCTAAAATATTTGAAAATTCCATTGATACAATTATTTTACACACCCCTTGTGGAGCACCTATTTAGAACATTCAGATAAGCAATTGACCTTACAGGGTAGTCTCACTCATTTTATGTTAAAATGAAGAAATGTCACAGATTAAAGGACACTTTGAGTAACTCTCTTCCCTATGCAAATGCATTCTGGGAAATGAAAGATATTTCTATTTACACCAAAGCTGTAGAGAAGGCAACATATGGAACACTCCAGTTTCTTTCCCAACTCATGAAATGAAATGCCATGTTTGTATACTAATAGTGGCATGTCAAGACAAGACTCCAGCAACTTTACTTTTAGCACTTTCTTACTGAAGAGACAGTTTGGGGCTTATAAGTAAAGCTTAGGTTTGGGGGATATGCATGCATGCTGAATCAGGCAAAGTGTGCCAAGTGTAGAAAAGCAATGGTTTGTAGAGTGGGGGAGGAGCTGGTGAGAGAGAAACTCTCATGAAAGAAGACTAAAATAATTGAATGTCATGTATCATGGCAGGAAGCCAAGCGGCCTCCTGTTTGTGTATGCTCTGCTGCTGGGCTCCTTCCTTGGCTTCATCTTCAGCCTTCCCAGAGTTCTGCAGACATAATTGATGCAGAAATATATATTGCATCAAAGCAGCTTGGTAGTTTACACACACACACACACACACACACACACACACACACACACACACACACACACACACACACACACACACACACACACATAACACACACACACACACACACACACACACACACACACACACACACACACACAGAGGCGAGAGAGAGAGAGAGAGAGAGAGAGAGAGAGAGAGAGAGAGTTAAAGTATATGTCTCAAGTTATTACAACCCCTGGAAAACTTGCCTGGAGTCTATAGACAAGTGTGGAGCTTGAGCTATTTGTGAATTGAGTCTTCTAAGACAATGATCTGTATGAGAAACGAATCTTGAAGTCTTTCAACTGTGCTGCTACGAAGCCCTCTGACACTATGGGCTAAGTTTATCTTGACTTCAGTGGTAATATTATTTGGTATCCCAAAGCAACTCATGAGTTTTCAGAGAGCTATATTTGTTCATGGGTTTCAGCTGGTTTCAGTAATAGTTTTTCACATAATTGACTTTCCAACAAAAGAGAAGGGATGGGATTGAGCTCAGTTCTGTGGTTCTACAGGATCCAAGTTAAGTATAAATATATCAGATGATGATTTGCCCTTAATACAAATGCTTTGTCTTAATTACAACTGGTAATATTAGAGGCATTGTTTATATTCACTAAAAATGTGTTTTATTAAACAGCTAAATCATGATAGATTGTTTTTATTATATAAAATAAATACTATTAAAGTGATAATAGAGATAATTTCATTTCTCTCTAAAATTGAGATCCTTGCTCTAAAAAGTTCTGAATATAACAAAGGATTGCTGGAGTTTTTACATGACATCTATACTTTAAATGGTGAATAAACTCAACTGAACTCAATCCACAGATTC